GTGGAGAATTCAGTGCCTCATGTCAATAGCAACGAGATGCTACTGTTTCCATAACAGCAAACCCTAGTAACTGTACCGGTGACAACAGCCACCGCACTGCTGTGGCAACGTAACAGTAGTGTCTTGTGGCCACTTCTAGACAACTGATATCACGTTGTGGTGCCTCATCTGCCACCGTCATAGAATCATAGACAATGAGGGTTGAAGGGACCTCAGGAGGTCCCATCTAGACCAATCTCTTGCTCAAAGCAGGACCAGCCCCAGCTGGATCATCCCAGCCAAGCCTTTGTCTAGCTGGGTCTTGAAAACCTCCAAGCATGGAGACGTCACAACCTCTCTGGGTAACTTGTTCCAGCGTTTTACTACCCCCCAGGTGAGAAAATTCTTCCTAGTATCTAACCTACGCTTGCTGCAACTTGAGACCATTGTTCTTCGTCCTTCATCCTTCTAGATAACCTCTCTTTGTTTCAGTGACGTTCATGTGCAACCGTTTGGCATTTAAAAGGTGGAGGGATATCTGGATTCATGGGTAGGAAACTTTGCACTGACATTCATGATGCACAGATTGCTTGGGTGACCTATCTGAGCGATCTTTTGCAGAACTGAACCGATAATCTCAAAGTCTGAAGTAATAAGACTGTTGCTTGAGCTCAAGGCCCTAGTGCTGGCAGCATAACACTTTCTTTTGTCCTTTTGCTGCCAGATGGGGACAAGCATACAGTCAGCTAGTATGCTAGAGTAGAAAGGGAGAAGTTTTGTCCGGTCAGCAAAAAATATTTGGACAACTGACTCCTGACCACACTCTGGGGTAATTATTTTGTAGCTGGACTCTGTTCCCCATGGTCCCAAATAGTCTCCTTACTGATCAGGTTGTGTGGGGTAGTATTGGAACCGTATGGCCATAAGCACCCCTTAGAAGGAGTAGTCTGCCCAAGGACTCTGCCCCAGAGTACAGCGTGCGGTTCTCAAGATCCCAAACTACAGCTCCCACCGGGCAAGACGACATCACAAGCCAATGTAGCTGCCCACCGGACTGTCCTGCATTGCTCTGTTTTGACTCAAGAAGCTAAAAATGTTTCATTTTGATCCGGTTGAAATGTGCTGGCTCTTCCAAACAGACATTTACTGGAACTTTTCAGTCTCTGAAAATGGAGATATTTCAAACTTACTGGAAGGGAATGAAAGAGGTATTGAAATGTCAGAATTCCCCACAGGACAGACATCTCGAGTTTTGCTCAGCTGCAGTGGTCCTTGCCTGGCCTCCTCCGTTACACAAAGCAGTGGATTCTGCTCAGTTATTCCTGCAGCCAGCCAAAGCTTTCTTGTACAGCGAGCGCATTTCTTTGGAAAGAGACACGTCCAACCTGGATGCGCTGCCTTCACGTAACAGAGACCCGCCACCTCCCCGGGTAAGTTGTTCCAGTGGTTAATTACCCTCGCTGTTAAAACTGTGCATCATACTCCTAGCCAGAATTTGTCAAGTTGCAGCTCCCAGCCGTCGCCGGGTTTGCCAAGACGAGGGTCATTAATGACGGTATTTTTAGTTTGCTGGCTCCTGTCCACCAGAAATGAAGCCGAGACCTGCCAGCTCACTTCGTGCAAGGCTACAGAGCAGCGGCAGGTAGGAACAGTTTTTGGTCGCAGACCAGAATGTGGAAGGGAGCTGAAATTAAAAAGCTAAGTTGGAAGGGGGCCAATTGCTTTTACTGTTAAGGCAGCCACGTGCCCCGATAATGCTTTTCCTTGAGTGTGTGCAGGGGCACTGGGGAGCCAGCTACAGTTTAATTGTATTTCTTTAATTTCACCAAAGCAGAGCCTTGAGGCAGATCAACATGAAAGGAAATGAGGATTCGGGAGCGTTCCTCTTTTTTGTTTACCAATTTAACATGCATTTCCTTGGTGCCTTTCCCATTCACGTGAGAGGAAGGAGCCCGCTGCGGGAGAGTCGGGGAAATGAGTCCCATGCTCCCCACTGTGTCTTTGCCAGCGCGGTGGCAGGAATTTGACTGTTACCATAAAAACGAGTGCGTTTATCCTTCCAGGCACAATGGCTCTTTTCACCATTTTACAGATGGGGAAGCTGAGGTGCTGAGAGGTTAAATGGCTTGTCCAAGGTCACACAGAGGCGGCTAGTTCTTGCAAGACAGTTGCATGCAAACGTGACCGTGGGGGGGACACCTTGGGTTAAAAAAAATGAGCTCTTACCTTCATGAACGCTCAGTGGCCTGCTCCTAGCTGCTAAGCATTCAGATCCATGCTCTGCTATGTAAACAGGGGCCCTTTGAACCCCCCAGCCCTGCTGCCATTCTCATATAACAATAGCAGCTCCTTCGTTCAATAGTCTCTAGAGTACACCTTTAAAGAAGCCAAAGCCATGAAACAGAGAGAGAGGTTCTGGGGCTGATTCTTCTTCAAAGAAAATCTCCTGATCCATAAATATATCCCCTGAAATCCAGGACAAAACATAATGTATAAAAGATTGAATAGAAGATATATTATGCTATTGCATAGCAATCCTGTCTTCAGGAATTTATAGCTTCGATATATTCCCTGTTAAAAGAGGTTCTGCTAGCTGGTGGAGGAATTCAATTCATCTTGTATCTGTTGCAAACCATCAATATTATGGTTCACCCATTTAAACTGGAAATGGGACCAAATCTTTTGACTATTTATAATAAAAAAAATAAAATAAATGACGATCTCTGCAGGATTGTTGGCGTGCTAACTTTGCTGAGTTAATCGGAAATCTGTTTCTTTGGTGCTCTTGGAGGCTGGAGGGTTTTTTTTTTTTTTTGGTTTTCTTTTGAAATTTAAGGACATTGAAGCGGAGCAAGAAGTTGAATGTATGGGGGTATTTTTCCTGCAGATCTCTTTGCATTTGAGAGAGACCTAAAATAACAGCAGCATGTCTGTGGCTATAGGTCAGGGCTGAAATGGGTTGGTGGCTCCAGGCCTGTAGGTTGCAGCCGTGTCGGTCTAAGGACATAGGCGGACAAGGTTCTTTGGGTAAATCCGATATCTTTTATTAGACCAACTCAAAGAGTTGGAACAATTGTTCTTAGCAACGTTGGTGGCTCTGGGAGTAGAACAGCAATGGTGTTTCGGGTTGGCGTTGAAAGGCATTGGCAGAATTGCTTACGTGCACGCATCTTTGTCTGTGGGGGGATCTGGAAGCTGTGGGTGTGGACTGAGGGCCAGGTGTGGACTCGCAGGGATAGCTGCAGGCCTGGGGAAAGGCTTCTATCAGGGTCTGATTTGTTTAATACAGTAACAAAATGTGGTCAGGTCTAGCAGCTTCCTGATAATTAAAACTTACAACCTGCATTTTGCATGATTAATGAAGAAGACTGAGCCAGAAGTCTCAAGAGACGCGCTTCCGTCGAGAACAAAATACTCCAACGCCTGCCTGCTTCCTCCCCACCGCCCCCAGCGCAGGACTGGAAAAACACATCAGTCCTAGGCCAAGGGGAGTCTAATCCAGACCTGAGATCCCAGGGGGTTCAAGAGACGCTCTGCTCATCCACCATCCAGAACGTGGGACAGGGTTGACACCCTGGCACTCGCGGGGGTGGGGGGGCATGCAAGGCTGTCAGAGCCATCCTGTCCATGAATAGCATGCTACCTTTTGACAGAGTTGCTCAACACACAGATGCCTTCAAACCCACGCTTCCTGGAGGGGGCCAGTCTAGATTGCTCTCTTAATTTGGCACAGAAAAAAGGCGTACCCATTTGCAGTACAGCTGGGCTCAGAAGAACACGGGGGTTCGGACGGCTAAAATACTCTCTTAACGCCACGGTATCGTCTGGCTTCGATGGGTCAGCTTCACCCAGTGGAACAGCTGGCCCAGCAGTGTTTGAGGCAGGAACAGCTGGGCTCTGTTGGACCAATTTAAACGAGTTACTTTTCTCCACTGCTCGCTTTGTCTCTGAAACGGAGACACCAGGGCTTGCCCTCCCCGCACCCAGGGGCTCTGCGAGCCTTGAGGAGTGAATGGTATTGAAGTGCTTTCAGAGCTGCTGCTGAGAAGTGCTACAGCGGGCCCAAAGCTTTGTTATTTATTCTCCAGGATTGTTGCCAAGCAGCAAACACTGACAGCCCCATTGCCGATTCCCTCGGTGAGCCGAACGGAGCGCATGCAGACATGCGAACGCACACGCGTGCACAGTGGCAGCAGCACACAGACAGGCCCACAAATGCAGGAGCATAAACCACCCCCGGGTATGAGCGCAGACCTACATCCACTGACTAACTCACAGAAGCACGCGCATCCAGATGTGGACATTTGCAGCAATGCAGCTGGAGCCAGCCCCCACTTTCAGTCCATGCACTGGCTATCAGAGATTATATATTTACCACCACTGCCTTGGCAGCTTCTCCAGGCAGCAGCTCACACTGAAGTCCAATCCCCGACTGCCCAGCTGGGGGTAGCGAAGCAGCTGATGAAGGTGGAGAGGCTGCAAATGAAAATTTATCGTCTTTCCCCTGGCAGAGGATGCCAGGGTCTGAGTGATGCTTGGAGAGAGGTGGGTGGCTGGCTTGGCCTGAATGCACTCCCATTATCGTCTGTAATAAACTGCATCATGGGATTTGTGCTGCGTGGTTAGTCTGGAAACAAACTTGTACAGCTCTGCTGCCACTTGGTTTCTTGAGTCCACTCCCTGTGCTCCGTCCTGCGCTCTGTTTTAATCTTCCCCTCCCTGTGTAGCTCAGGTCCCTACAAATTCACTTCTCGTTCCCGCTTCAAGCATCTGCAGTCATGGCCCTGTTCCCTTTCGATAAGGCCCCTGTATATCCTCTCTGAATCCAGCCCAGTGTCTTAACCACAAGAAATACGAAACAAGGCAAGGCTCATGTGTGCTTGGGCTTAGGGGCTGGTTGGGCCCCGTCTCCGTTTGACTTCAGTCAGACTTGGGACGCAGTTTTGCAGCCATGGCTTGCAGGTTTGCCATGGGATGAGGCTTTCTTATGACCGGGCTCTCTATGCTCCTGCTCCACAGATACCGGCTGCATCCTCGGACATGCCCTGCAGTCTTGATCCCTCTGGAGATCCTCATCTCGCCTGCCAAGAGAGAGCCTGAAAAAGGACCTTTCCCTCATCAGATTACGAGGTAGAGGAGGAGAAATGGCTTTATTCATGAAGGTGGGTGTGGGAGTCAGAATACCAGCCTGCCAGTCAGGGAACAACAAGCAGCGGCTTGACTACTTTTGCATCAAACTCGGTGCGATCTTTCCCAGAAGCTTGACTGCATCCGTAAAGAGACGTGCAGCCTGCTGTTGCTAAAGCAAGCCCTCCCCTCACCCCTGTCATTCACCCAGCTCTCCGCCTGGGAGGTGCCGTCTGATACTCGCACCTCTGATCTTTGCCAGCCAGTAGCTGACCTGGGCCTTAGGTTGCTGACCGTGACCTCCCAAGGGCGCGGATCAATCCACAGGAGATGAATGGAGAGTTCCTGAAGTGCAGCGTAACGAAACTGGTAAAGATGAGATGCACCAACCAGTGCTACAAAGGCACTTCTTCCATCAGGAATTTGAAACCCCTTGGAGTCGTATGAAAGTCACTGCTGGTTCAAATTCTGCTTCCTTTGAGTTATAAAGCTATGTTGTATCAACGATGCAGCTGGGAGCTGGTGTCTTCTACTCCTCCAAAGCTTGTGAATAGCTCGCTCAGGTCTATCTATACGAGCTGCAGATGCACCCCAGGGTTGAGGTGTAGATGCACCCTCTGGGGCCATCTTTTCTGATAACTGTGAGAAGATGCGCTAACATCTGGGATAGGGAGAACTAGGAACGGGATGAGCTGTGGCCACAACTTCCACATCAACCTGGGGAACGAGGTCGGCTGGGTCTCTAGCATGCCCGGGCAGCTCTGGGCAGACTCATTTCTGGGGTAGCGTGTATGGAGCAGGAGGGCAGGGACGGAGCACCTGCCACCCTGGTGCAGAGGTGAACGGCGCCGTCGCCCCTGATGAATGTGCCAAGCCATGGTGCCTGCCCACCCTCAATCTCTGGCTGCCAGGGCATCCTACACCAGGCTTGTGGTTTTTTTCCACAAGGGCTGAGACAGTACAGTATACAGCTCTCTTCCACTCTCTGCATGGCTGCTGAACAACTTTTCCTGAATCCCACAGCCCCAGGATAGGAGGCCCAAAAAAAACCTCCCAGAGAAGTGAGAAGCTCATCTTTTATGGAGTGTGCATGTCAGCTGCAATCACAGTCATCTGAATATTGTCATCAGACAGTTTCCTCTCATCGCAGCTTGGCTGGAAGTGAGAATAAATCTTTGCCAAGTCTGGCGAACGCGCGCGCGCGCACACACACACACACACACACACACACACACACACACACACACACACACAACCTCCTATGTGGGGTCTGGTTTTTATCTTGCTAGGCTCCCCTCTCTTGATTTCATTCACTTTTATGTTCACGAGCTCCAGTGTAAGAAGTAAAATGCTCTATAAAACCTGCACTACGCAGCTGCGTTTGCTGTTGTCAGGCTTCAGAACTTGGGGCATAAAAGTTAGGGAATTAAATCAATCAATCATTATTGGATTTATAGGATGCCCGGTGAGCAAGGGCCCAACAACCACTTTACATTTTAATCAGAGCTGAATCCTATCAAGCAGCCCACAAAAAACCCCACCTCCGTGGGAGGCAGGGGGTGGGGAGATGTCTTCTCTACCTCCTGCCATGCCCAGCAGCAGCAATGCTTGGAGTACCCTGCCCTCCCTTCCTCGCTGCGGTGGCCAATCCTGGAGGTGGGGCACCGGGACAGCACTAGAGCAGCCTCAATTGCAAGCCAACTATTTAGTTGGTGTAAGAAAAGATATCACATTTACCCAAAGAACCTCATCAGCTAATTGGCACACGTGCTACAGCATCTTGGGGCAGTGGGTACCACCTCCACCTGAGACCACTGCGGGACAGGCCCTGCCCACTCACTCCCGGTCTATCCACTTCCCTTGCATTAAGGCAGTCCTGGGAGTGCCCAGCGTTGCTCCCAGGACTAAGCCTAAGGCAGAGACTCGGAGAGCATCCCTGGGATTGTGGTCCTGGGATTGCTGCAGGTGCAGGGTCGTCTAAGAAAGGTACATTGCCTCAGTCTGGATTGGGCACAGGTGCAATGTGCTTTGAGGTCCCACCCCTGCATGTGGCACGGACATGGTGTAGACAGGTCTTGCCGTGGCCCGCCCTGCAGCTCTGTATGTCTGTGGCATGAGGGCAAAAAGGAGCAGGAGGGGAAAATAGGGCAGGGAATGCCTGTTGCCTTTCCTGCCATGGAGAGCAGTGGGTGGTGTCCTCTGTAGGGCTCGGGACCGCTGGGTTCCTCTGCCTGGTGTTGCTTGTGATGTTGCATGAGCCGCTGTGCTTCTGTATCCCCATCTATCAAGGCAGGGTGATGACAGCGAAACACTCTGAGGCTGAGAGATGAGAAGTGCTGATGTATCCTCACTTGCTTAAGGGCGGACCCACACCTGAAGGTCCTTCTGGTAGAGCTACGTCAGCGAGGGGTGTGATATTGCTTTGCAGCATGGCAGTGTCAGCAAAAGCACAAGTGCACATTGCAACGTTACCAGCAAAAAAAGGGAGCTTTTGCCAGCAGAGCTCATCTTGCATGCCAAGCCAGGTTTAGCCAGACCAGCAAAAGCCCTGTTTTCTGCCTTCTCAGCTGCAGCTGCGCCAGGAAGGTTGGTTGGTAGAAACCGGTGGTTTTCAAACGGTGTTCAAAGAGGTTGGGGGTAACAGCAGAGCATGCCAGGTGGTATTATGTTGCTGTTGCCAGGCTGGTCACCTGGCCCTGAGTCAGTCGAGGATCGAGGTAGGGCTGCAGAAGTGATATAAAAGGTTTCTGTGATTTCAGAGAGTTTGAAAACCACTGGTACGATCTTGTCCACTGGCAGCTAAGCTGCAGTGTAAACCCCACGGTGCTGTCCATTCCAGTATGGAGCCAAACCAAACTGGGGAAACTTCCCTGAAAGCACAATTTCGGGAAATAGTTGGGATGAATTTCATTTTGCTAAAAGGAAGGCATTCCTTGTTGATGGCCACCTTCTGAAATCTTGTATTTGATCTTTCCTTTATATAAAAGAACGTCGTGTTGGGAAGTCGTTCTGAAATGAAAAAGCACAACTTTTCTTTCCAAAAATGGTCAAGGCAGGCCATCCCAACACTGCCACCCCCAACCTCCCCCTGCCCCTCCAGTTCTTATTCTAAACAAAATGTCATTGAAATCTATAAACTAGTATTTTTTGAATATCTGATTTAACAGAAACAGTGTTTTCCATCAAAGTAACATTTTGGAGGAAAACTTGTGAGTACCTCCAGTCTTTCCTATATTTGATCATTCCCCTTCTCTGTTCATTCATGCATTTTCCAAAGTAGGTCAGCGGAGTCCTCTGTCAATCCCCGACGTCTCGTCCCATGTGCTGTATCAGGTGCGGCGCAGAATAGATTTTTGCAAACTGTGCATGTTGTTACATGACTCCGCAACAAGCACTACTTTAGGATGTTGATTCAGTTGTTCTCCAAATCCAGTCCTCCTGACGCCGCTCTGCTTCTCAGCTCTATCCCATCAATCAATGATTTCTCTCTGTGCTCCTTTTAAAAAATAAAGAAATCAATGTGACACTAGATGAAGCTGAATGCAACAGTGCCAGGCAGGTCCAGGGAGCTGAGAAGATGCAGAGGACAAGGAGCTGAGCTTCAAACCAAGCAGATACCCTGGGTATGACTGAGGCAGGCGGGCGGGAGAACAGAGGCCATATAGATGTGCGCACGCAATTTTCTACCCCACGTTACGAACAGGTACGGAGGTAGGGGCGAGCAGGTACGCAGCTGAAGGCATTCCCGTCTGGTAACTATTCAGTGGGTCCTGAGACGGGTGATGGTGGACCTCAGCTCACATCCTCGCGAGCGTGGCACAGAAAACAGCAGCACCAGGTGTATATACCCTGCACCCCAGCGTGGCCACTTCAGAGGAGAGGCTGAGGAATGGCTAGGCCTCGGAGGCTGGATTCTTCCTTTACGCAAGAAACAGAAGTTCATTGTCAACTCACTGAGCCCAAACGATAGTCCTGGAGGGTTAGGGTAGAGGCACTTCATACGGTTTAATGGCACTTTGCACATACGTAGGGCCATCCATCTGTGGTTCTCAGAGCACTCTACAGGTGTTAACGAGCTCAGCATTAGCTGACGGTGCCCCTTAAAAGAGCAGAAGTGTAATCAAACCCCTTCTCTCATGGGGAAATGTGGCATTGAGGGCTTAGCGTATGGGTGCACAGGAGATGCTGAAGCTTTCCCTGTGACTGCGATAGGGCAGCTGGAGCTGCTCCAGGATGGGGGGCATTGCACTAGGGATAGAATAAGATAACCTCCGTTCCCAGAAGCTCACCGTCTGGGTAGAGAAGACGGGCAAAGCAGCCTCGCCCCATTGTTGGGCCCGTGTCACTGCTCTCCATCTGCGCCTGATTCGCAGAGCCTCAGGGAGGGAGCCTTGGTGATCCTGTTTTGACTTTTCTTTCATTTTCCTGGTGCCCACTGCAACCCTGGGCGTGTTTGGAGAGGATGGTGGCTATTGCAAAGAAACTGCAGGTAACCATCCTGCTCACGGAGGCAGGCACAGAAACCCTGGCTTGCACCGCGTGCTCCAAGGCCATCCTTTCTGACAGCCAGCTAGCGGTATCGTTGCCCCCGCTGGTCCTGCTCTGCAGCACTGTGGATAATTAGGAAGTCTGGGTCTCTGAGGCTGTCAGACTGGCACCTCTGAACACTCATTCTTCAGTGCATTGAAGAGGCATCATTTGTCTTTTCACAGCACATAACCGTATAGAAATATTTTGTCTTGTTTCAGCCCCATTAGTAATACTGGCGATGTTTTGCTGGCTAGGTGACAATTAGCACTCGGCGCAAATGCTATTAAGGAGCTCTTTCCTTTTTGTTCCCCTCTGATGCTGCCATTTGAAATGCGGTGGCAGGGACCTATCGGGGACCTGCTTGGGCAGGGCATCCTGCTGGGCTTCCCATTTGCCTTGCTGAAGTTGGGGTGCTTTAATGGACAGGCGCCATCACTGTGTAAGGGGCACTGGGGCCAGACAGGAGTGGTGAAATAGCAGCGGGCGCTGGGTTGCATTTTGCAGCCTCGTCTGACAAGTTCCTTGAGTGATCCAGAGGTGAAAAAAAAACAAAAAACGGCCCAGCAGTTGAGCGATACCATTTCTAATTATCCACTTTCCCTCTTCAGCAAGCAGGCTCACCTCTCTTCTACTTTCACCTTGTCAGCTTCTTGGTCAGGAGAGTTTACCTGGACATGCCTAGATAAAGGCAACTGTTGACATTTACAGATACCTGGCATGCAAAGCTCAGCACGCCGGCTCTGCCTCTCTCAGCACGTTGCCTGTAGGAAGCTCTTCGAGGGGCGGCTGTATGGAAGGAGCCGAAGGAAAACAGAGGAGCGCGGCGACCAGGTGAGAGGGGAGGTCTGGGCAGTCTGGGGCAGGGAGACTTAGCAGCATTGTGCTACCTGTGCAGGTGCAAATAATCAAACCTGTGCTTTTCATGTGCGGATGGACCGGATGCAGGTTCCTCTACTTGGGGCTCAGATGCTGCCAAATTCACCGTGCAGGTTTGCAGCCAGCCCTTTGTTTGCAGTTGGCATAGGACTCCGGTTCTGGTAATTCTCCTCTCACCAGCTGTATTCAAAGCTTATTGCGATTTATTTTGCACTAGGCCTGAAGACCCCAGCTGTGATCAGGCCCTCATTGTGCAAAGCACTGCACGCAGGCACGGTAAGGCAATCTCTTCTCTACGGAGCTTATGGTCTAAATTGACCAGGGGAATATGATCATCCCAACTGTACAGGTCAGGAGCTGAGGCACAGAAGACAAAGTGATCGCCCACAATCACACAGCTAGTCGGTGGCAGAGCAAAGCGCTGATCCCCACTCCTCCAAGGTGCAGCCCAATGCTTTCTAATAAGGCTGCTCTTCTTCTTATGGTGGAGGGCTCTCTTTTGTAATGTAGACTCTTCCGTAACAATGCAGGTTGGTGTCGGAGTACCCTGGTACCTTGGAGTTGTACCTGTGTCACATGTCTTTGTCTCCTAAAAGAGAATTTCGGTACATCCCCAGCCTTGATCTTTGGGGTAGGCATGAGACGTCAGACCTGTTAGATTAGGGGGTTTTCTCGGGGCCAGTAACTGAGGCCAAAGTGGCTGAAGTGGCTTGCGGGATGTGACCTGTACTGATGGTGGACATGCCCCAAGCCACGTACTTCCAGGTACAAGCTAACTGAACCGCAGGAGTGTTTAACTTCACCACGTGTTAGATGTGTAGCTTAGCAGCTTGCGTGCCGGGCTGAGAGTCCTGGCTTTTACTCCTGGCTTGGATCTTCACCCGCAACGAAGCCTTGCAGTGTCCCAGACTATCATTAGGATTGCTGTACCGCCCAGGACGCCACTGCGTTAGGCACCGAGTAAGCAGACAACAAAGCCACCGTCCCTGGCACTGTCCTGGGAATGTACCATTTGGTCTGTCATCTAAGAAAAGAAAAAAAGATTTTTTAGCATGCTGGATGGTAGAGATCAGCTTAAAAAAATGATCTTTAAAAGTTGAAGAGACAGGAAGCAAACAAACAGACCTTACAGTGCGTTCTTTATAAAGTCTCATCGTGTTTGACTCGTGTTTTTTGAACTTCGGGAGTTGGCTACAGTGGTAATGTCACCTCAGTCTTGTGAAGACTGTGTTTTAGAAGAAGGATTGCCTGCGAGATAGTGGCTGATGTAGGAGCTAAAAGTGAGGGCTGGAGGCAGGGCTCTGTCACTGGCTTGCTGTATGACCCTGGCCATGTCACTTGACTTCTGTGTGCCTCAGTAACCCTGTACGTTTTACACTAACCTGCTTCTCTAAAACCTGTTGTGACCCCTGCTCACCATGTAAAAGGAGGCCCTCATAACCAGGAGGAGATTCTGGGAGCCAAGAAGATTGCTTAGGTCATGCTGCTACCCCTTTTTTATTCTGTTGTCAACAGTTTCTCTTTGAGTCCAAGTAAAGACACACACACACACACTCTCTCTCTCTCTCTCTCTCTCTCTCTCTCTCTCTCTCTCTCTTTCTCAGGCAGGTCCAGACAGAGAGGGGATTTGGGGAAAAAAAACCCAAGTTATAAAACACTCAGCAAGGAGGAAAAGTTCCATTCAGTGCTTCAGGACTAAAATTAATAGGTGCAACCCATAATCCTCTTTTGGAGAAGGGGGGAGGGGGGGGGAAGGAGAGAGAGAAATAATGGCCAAATCCCCATGTCGTGCTGTCGGAAAGTCTTCCAGGTTTGTGAAGTTCAATGCATAGGAAATGAGGTGGAGAGCCCCGCTAGACTCAGCATGTTTTCGGAGAGTACAGGTCAAAACTGACCTTCACATAATCAGCCCTAGGTAGAAAACACTGAGGTTTTATGTTTCCAGGGATAGACAGATTGCAGAATGATGGGGACAGTTATTTAAGAGCTAATCTTAGCTGCCCCATCCAGCTGCCACTAAACCTGTGGCTTTCTGTTCATATCATTTTTGCTTTGACATTTCTTCCCCTTTTTCTCTTGAATGCAGTGCTCGGCTCGAGAGAGTGACAGTGCCTGGTGATGACTGCGCCAGTACAGCTGAAGGAGGGGCAATACCTACTTCTCTTGCATGCTGACCCCAACAGGGGGGCTGAGATCCTCACTTTTGGGTTTGGTCCCCTCAACCCTACTTGGGTGGGGTGAGTACCTTTATCTCTGGCTGGTTTTGTGCTGACCGTGCATTTGAGTAGCACCGCCTCCTTTGTGGTGACCACCTGCCTGTGCTTGTGGTCACCCCACCACTACGCACGGCGTGCTTTTCTTCAAGTGGGGCTACTGCAGCTGCTGGAGAGGTGAACGGGGCTGGCTTAGTCGGGCAACCTTACAAAAGGCAGCCCCTTGCAAACACATGGAGGTTTGCCTGAGACATGCAAAGAGAAGCAGAGCAGCTGTTTGGTAGCAAGGCTACCTTCTGTGAGTCGGTGCGGTGAATCTGTGAATTTTGGGGGGTATCTGTTTTGTCATAACCGCTTTTGACTAGTCCCTGTTTTGCAGCGTGCATTTTGCAACATTGTGCATTTGCAACCGTATGGGCGCGTTTACATGTTGTCCTATGGTGACATAGCGATGCGCTATGTCACCGTATGGGGTGCTATGGTGGCGCAGTGATCACGTGTGTCTACACATGATCGCTGGCTACCTCGCTGTAGCATAGTGCACTGCTATGGCGATGTAGTGGCGAAATCGAACTGTGCGCGTGGTGCAGGAACCACCCGTGCTGCGCTGCACTTTAAAGTACTTCCAAAAGGAAGCACGGCAATGTGTAGACATGCCACATATGGAGTGTTTTGCTTCAGGTAGGCCTTGTCTAGCTAATTGGGGTGTGAAGCAAGCAGCCTTAAGAAGGAACACTGATTTAATTGGCATTAGACTCGGTGGGACAAGTCCCATGGTTGGAACATCAACATTGAGGGATAAACTCTTTTTCAGAAGGATAGGTTTGGGATAAAAGAAGGCAGTACTGCACTGTGTTGAGCAAATATGTGCCCATTCCTGGGTCTGAGAGGAAGAAGGCAACAAATCTGAGTGCATCTGGGTGAGGATAAAAGGAGACAAGAACAGCCGTGACATTATGGTGTGGGTCTGCTATAGACCCTCTAGTCAGAAAGAAGAGGCGGATAACAACATTGTGCAAAAATTGTGAGATGGATCTAATGGGGACTTTCAACTTTCTAGGAATCTGCTGGAAGGCTAATACAATAAGTGCATGCACACACGCACACACACCTGGACATATATACATGTCCATAAAGTTCCTGATGTGTGGAGGGTAACTTTCTGTTCCACAGAATTGAGGATATGACTAGGGGATCATCATCTGTCTTGGATCTTATTCTGAACAATAGGGAAGAACTGGTTGAGAATATGAAGGTGCTGGGTAACCCCAGGAGAAGTCATCGCAACACGGTAGAATTCAGGCTTCTTAGAAAGGAAAATGAGAAGATTAGCCAAAGAAATGTGCTGTATTTCAAAAGGGCAGATTTCAAACGACCCGGAGAAGGTAGGGTAGGCCCCATGTGTTGCTAGCCTGGGGGATAAAGGGGTCTGGGAAGGATGGCAGCTCCTGAAGGATGCAGGATTGGAAGCTCAACAAGAGGTTATTCCAACACAATGACATGCAAAAAAGAGCAGCGAAAGACCAATGTGGCTGAGCAAGGAGCTACCTGGATGCCTCAAAATCGAAAGGAGAACGTATAGGCAATGGAAGGAAGGGCAAGTCCCTAGAGAAGCGTGCCCGGAAAGAGAAAGAACATGTAGGGACAAAACCAGGGGAGGATCCAGGTGGATTTTAGAAGTAGAGCAGCAGAAGTGTAGAGTTGGAAGGGCGCTTTCCTGGGTCCTCCAGTCTACCGATGCAGTATCCAGACTATTTGCCTGAGCTGAGGGATAGATCGTCGCCTCGCCTCCGGGCCAGAGAAATCGAGCTCTTTCCAAAGAGTCTTTCCCGGAGGGCTGGCTCTGTCACCTGAACTAGGACCCTGGTGTCCTGCCAGTCCTTTGAGTGAGCATCTCTCAGATCTAGGGCAGCATTTACAGCACTGCAAAACTACTCTGTCTGTCCAGGTACTTAAACTTTTGGAGGCAGCGACTGTCTCTTTTGACCTGTGTTTGTCTTATGCGATCAGCCTCTGTGGCTGGGGTTTCTGGGCAGTAGGGAATAAATGATGACTCCCCTGTTCCTGGCTCCGTTCTGCTTATCGGGAGGTCCTTTTGTGCTAAGATCACCGGGTCTCTGTGAGGACAAAGTCTCAGGTGTGTTGTGTAAGTGTAACCTGCCACTCAGTGTGTGTCATGAGTCCCCTGCTATGTCCTAATCTCCAGAGAATATGGGTCTGACACTGCTCTCAGCTGGAGTAACTGGCTCTTAGCTCCCGCCGTAGAGATTCATGCTTTCAGCTCTGGAGCTTGCTGGGTTTAATTCTCAACGTTAGCTAGGACAGCAGTGATTGCTTAAGGGGATCCTAGCAGCTGCAAACCTGTGACTTAAAGGGAAAGCTACTGTTTTGCCTAGCTGCCCCAGGGACATCCAGGGCAGTTAGGAAGAGTTATTGCAACTTCACTTCAGACCCTGCCCCTTAAGCCGGAGACTTGTGACAGGCTTGGGCATAGGGTGTATTGCAATAGTCAGAGCAGGGTGCGCAAAGCAAATAAAACCCAGCGACCTGTGAGCCCCAGCATTTCGGTGCAAGAGTCTGTACAGAGGTGCTACATCCATGTCCAACCGGCATGCAAGCGAAGGGAAAATTGGGCCCCGTCCCCGAGACGAAGAATAGGGCTGATGTGTCAGTGTACGATGCAGCAGATCTCTTCGCAACGACAATCTGAACCCAGAAGGGTAACGTCGTATCCCCTGGGATCGAACCCATCCTCCCCCGTTCGTTCCTCCTGCCTCTTTTTTTCCTTTCTTCCCTTGCGGTTCTCCTCTTTCTCTTCCAATTACTCACTTTTCCTCTTTAAAGAGCCCCCTCTGGAAGGGGACTCGCATGCTTGCATGCACGTGCATGCACACACTTCGTTGCCAACACGTCGTGCACAGCTGCAGTGTGCCAACAAGATCAAAACGGGGACGCAGGCAAAGAGTGAGGAGGATTTTTTTAAGGAACAACTTAAAGAAAAGGGGGGAGAAGTCCCCCAAGCTCTTATGCCTTTTCCTGTATGTATCTGATCTGTGGTAACACAGATGGACAGCCTGGTCAGTCCTCTTCCTTTTCCTTTCACCCCCTCCCCCCCACATTTTGTGAACCTAGAAGAACTTCATTTCATTATTTTTTAACTCCGTTGTTGGCTCACATTACGCTCCTGGCCATAAAGTCAAGTCCCAGCTCTCTCCCCACTCTTTGTCCTGGGAGATGGGCTATATAGGACA